AACTACTTTTACGGATTTTATCGCGGTTTAACTAAATTATTTTATATTACCGACGTTTCGGTTGCTGGACAACCAGTCCCCCGTGACCATGGTTGCTGAAAAGCAACCGAAACGTCGGGAATATAAAATAATTTAATTAAACGCGATAAAATCCGTAAAAGTAGTTTTACATATTTTTGTATAAGTTTTTGATAAAATATTATTAACAAAATAAAATACAGTTTTGATTTAAACTTGCTCTAAGCTTGACATCTGTGGTTTATACGCGCATCCAAGAGCTTGTTTTACTGGACTTTATAAGTGTTATCACAGGTTGTGTCCAATCAGTCTATAATTTGCATTATGTAAAGTTGTAAATTTTATTTAAACACAAAACTTGGATTTCGTGACTAAAATTATCAAAAGTATAAGCTTTCACTTCAATATTAAACGTGTATTTTATAGATATAAATTTCAAACAGCAAAGAGGTGTAAAAAAACGTAAAGAGTAGCAAGCAAGTAAAAAGTGACAGATGTCACCGATATAGAAACTCTACAATATAACAGTGGATAAGATTATTTTAAATTAATAACAATATAGAGAGAATATGATTTTGTTACGCTAAGAACAGTGTAATTAAGGGCGCCATCACTAGTTACCACATGCAGGTCTAGCATGGGCTGCAGGACTAGCATGGGCAGGAGACAATTTTATCTCCGGGGAAAGGAGAAAATGTTTATCACATCATTTAGTTTTATCCACCCTTGGAGCAGTCACACCGATGGATGTAATATTCACAGTAGATAAAATGGGATATGCACTTAGATAGATTTTTTGTATGTATATAAACTTAAACCTACGTCCAATGAACTAGGTAAAATTGTCTCTTTCAAATGTCAAAAAAGCATAACTTTTTATCTTTCATTAGGCTCCATGCTACGGACGGGGGATATTTCTCTACTCGTTATGTCAAACGGGGATATACTTCTCCCCGTTGCCGTGCTTTGACATAAGGACAAGATAATCGGGTGATAATTTTTTTGTCCCAAGCCCATGCTAGCCGTGCAGGTGGAATTTTAGTCCAGCACTGGCTTATAAAAAGTAAAAAACAAAAAAACAATTTTTAAGTTTAATTTAAGAGCAATGCATTTTCAACCGAACATCATTAAACTTAAGTGTTAAAATAGCTATTAGTATAATTACCGGTAGTGTAACTGTATCTCAAATGAGACTATGTCAGAATCGATTACCAAGTGACAAGCTGGTCTTATAATACTTACTCACTGTTATGCTCCAAATAACAATATGCTAATTGACAATTAATTTTGCATCTTGATTAAGTTTTTCTTACTTTTCATTTAAGAATATGTCAACGTTTTAACCTGTATTTTAGTTTGCACTCTGCGTCAAGTTGATAGAGAAACGTATTTTGTTTTTCTTAAAAAGATTTCATTGCCGTTAAACGAATAAAAAACTAGTTTATTTGTACAGTGTGTTTTAAATTGGTAATCAATAGATAAATTCAAAACAAAAATTAATTCCATTGTTCTTTTTGCCTTTGTTGGCTACTAAAATTTATTAATATTTCGCGCTGATATTTACACTTTTTTAAATGATCAAATTCTAGAAATACTGATGTTTTCGTTAAATGTTCTTATGTTCAGGAATGGACTTTAATAGGCTATAACAGTAACTTAATTTTTTACATTTTAACATTGAGTTATATGTACTACGTACTAGAGAAGTCATTCCGAACATTGACTATGTTCAACTGAACTGTAGTGCAATCCATACAAACTAAAATTGCGTAAATTGAAGATTTGTGAATTCCATAAAATAATTATTACTTCATTTTATTTAGAAATATGTTTGTTTAGATTAAATTAAGATATTTTATATTAAATTCTTATATTTATTTTATATTAATATCTTATTTTATATCAAATGTAAAGTCTTCGCGCATGCGCGACTACTACTCCCGCGCTGACATAGAGTAGGACACAATTTTTGTTTGGAATGGCTTCTCTAGTACGTAGTACATAATACATATAACTCAAAGCATTTTAAGGTTTTTGTCGCCCAATAACAATTTTAACGTTTGTATATACGATGAGAGTATGTTAGATAAGACCTTACGTTTGCTTTTACGTACTGTAATATATTCAATGTATATAATGAGGCATTTTTAATAATCAGAGACGAATTAGACCCCTATGGATGCGAGTGGCACGAGAAAGAGATAAAAGGAAAGGTTTATGAAAGGCCTACGCCGCGCCGCAGAGGCGAATAAGGCCCGCCACATACATACAGAATTCCGTTTCGGGATTCCGTTTCGAGATTCCGAACGCAGCAAGTTCATATAAAATCTATGACCCGTCACACACGTACGGTAGATTTCCGTTCGAAATTTTGCGTGCAAAACGGGATTCTGTATGTGTGTGGCAGACCCGTTCGGAATTCCGTATGTTGTGTGTGGCCGGCCTACCATTTATCATATTAGTATACATCCGAAATTATGCATATAACCAAAATAACCAAAAAACACATATTAACTACATTATACTGTTATAACCTAGATTAATCATAAGTCAAGTTTGTATTGTAGTAGAAATAAAGGCTAATTTATTTATTTTTGTAATGAGGTGTTAATGATGTAAGCTTTTGTTAAATACACACCCGCCTGCGTAGCATAATATAGAGGTTCTGGGAACGGATAAAATAAATGACAATGGCAATATACCCTATTGAGTTATAAAATATAAATCAAGGATATACCCGTTCAAAATAACGAGCTGTATCTCGCACACTGATAATGGGGAGCAACATATACAATGCGAGGGTATCATTCCACATTCACTAACCTGGGCCGTACGGCGTATAGGCATAGAAATGCAACTTCAAATTATTCGAAAGGAAATAAGGTGGGTTATTCACAAATATGATTAAATGAAGTTGTAAAAAACTAAAAAAAAAAGTAAAGTAAAACAGCCTATATACGTCCAACTGCTGGGCACAGTCCTCCTAGAGGGGGTTAGGGAGACAGAAGCCCTATCGCGATGGCCTAAAATTTTCACGTCATCGAAATTTTCTTTATTTCTCAGATATCAACGTTTCCTTACGATATTCGCCGCGACAGCACCTATGAAATTGTATTATCACGTGCGTGCTCAGTGTTAATGTAGGTATAATTTTAAAGAAAATCAAAGGGCAAAGATACATTTAACACTGTTTTATTCATCAATATACATTTTAACTGACATCAAAATTAATTCAATGCATTGTTAATGTACATAAATTCAAGCACAGAACACAAGCACCGGAAACACGATTACGCTTAAACTGTGCACGCCACATTTATTTCAAAGGTGGCAAACTGCCATTTCCAACGCGTCACCGGGTGTCCTGTTCTAATGTTGGCAACCATACGTTAATAGCGACTTGGCTACGATACTATGAGAATAATTTTTTAATTTTTATTAATGAAAGAACATAGGGTTTTTTTTATATGGAAGAGGAAGTAAACGAGCACACGGCTCATCTGATGGCAAGTGAACACATAAGTCTTAGTTTATTATAAAAAGTAAAAAAGTTACAGCCTATATATGTCACACTGCTGGGCGCAGGCCTCCCCTAATTTCTGAGAGGGTTTTAAGGCAAGAAAGTGTCCGCCACGTTGCCCCAATGCGTGTTGGCGAACTTCACATGTCTTCGAAATATTTTTTTTTTCTTATTTCTCAGACATGCAGGTTTCCTCACGATGTTTTCCTTCACCGTCGAGCACGTGGTAAATCAGCACTTAAAATTGCAATTAACAATTTCATTGGTACCGGCGGGAATCGAACCCGCGTAGGTATTGTGAAATTTACAGCGAGCGCTAACCATCTGAGCTACCACGGCTCCGAAAAGGTAAAAAGTAAAGTTACGACCTATATACGTCACACTGCTGGGGTCAGGCATCCTCCTCTCATTTTTGAGAGGGTTACAGAGGATTAATCCACCGCGCTGCTCTTGCAGCATAATATTAAAACAGTAAATTCAGCAAACTGCTTTGACCTCCACCTGGAGCCTCGAGAAATTATATTTATTACGCTGCTCAGATTCACCCATTTTGTTTTAATTTTATGAGACGATTTACTCGCAACGATGCCAATGAGTCAGTATTCCAACAGCTTTTTATTGTTATCACTTGCGTAAATAAGACCACATTTAAAATTTACATTGGCTCATTCAGTCAAAAAAAAATTTAACTCTGCTTTTTAAACTAAATTAATGGGAAATCATTTCAATAATGTATTGAATACAGCAGTATTTTTAAACGGAATAGTAAATGTAATGATAATGATAATTATTTGTCTTAAAACAATGTATGTATCTTTACTGTTATCGTTAGTACTTTTAGGAATATATATTTATTTAATTTTACATATGTGTTTGAAAAAAGTACATAGCATAGAAAGGTTGAAAACATAATGTTTAAAGCTGTAATGTCGAACGATCTCTCGAAAAATCTCTTGTAACGATTAGCTCTTTAAGAATTAATACAAATAGTCTTGATCAAGAGCAGAGATAGAAACAGAAACAGAACAGAAACTTTTTTATTCAATATAGATTATAAATAATACTTATTGAAAGTCACTCTTTTGTTTGATTACCACTGGTTCGGAAAAAACCTCTGTCCTGGGAAGAACCAGCAAGAAACCCAGCGGGACTTTTTTTAAATAACAGCTTACAATCATGATGTTACACAAATTAACAACACAACAAATTAGAAATAGCTTGGTAGCGATCACCTCATTTCCAGGGGTTATTATCATCCATAAATTCCTTAATATTACAATAAAACGAAAGATACGTATGTTAAATGCAATTTTTTTTTATTGGACTAGAATCCGAGGCATCCTATGTTCTAATATAACGTTTGGTCTATAACAAACATTTTCTTAATATGCTCCATTTTACTGACATTTTGTAATTAGTGGTGAATTAAAATAGTTATAAGAATACTTCGAGAATCACTCACCTGTAAAGTTTCTAGGAAATGACTTCTCAGTTTTAGCCATGATGCCACCTTTGGAATGATTTAAATATTCTGAAAAGGAAAAGAATAAACTTAATTCATTTGTTTAATAATTAATTATCAGCTGCTTATTTGAAACCGTGAGTGTCGTAAGGTATAGGAAACGATAGAAACACAAACACAGCCTACGATTCTTTACGTGGTAGAGCCATGCTGCAGCTATATTATGGTTGTAGCACGAATGGGTCGGCTCGACCGGGGAAGGACCACGCTCTCACAGAAAACCAGCGTAAAATAGCAGCTTAATGCTGCTGTGTTTCGTATGGTGAGTGTAGAGAACCGGAGACCCTTTTTACTGGCAAAGAGGCATTTCATCTTAGTCCTCACGGATGACAACGCATCTGCATCTTGAGTCTTTATTGAGGATAGATGTAGATGTCTATGGGTCACAGTAACCACTTACCATCAGGTGGACTGTGTGCTCGTTTGTCATCCGATCCTATAAAAAAAAAACATATGGCGGTAAATTAAGAAGTAAAGTTAACAGTCTACATACGTCTCACAACTGGGCACAGACGTTCTCCTATTTCCGAGAGATTTGGGCAAGGGATTACTGACGCGCGTCTTAATTTTTTTTTTATTTCTCATACATGCAGGTTTTCGCGTGACGTTTTCTTTCACCGCCGAGCACTTAAAATTGCACTTAACAATTCTATTGGTGCCGGAGCGCTTAGCTCACTGAGCTAACACCGCTGTCAACATGTGTCGCGCCACATGTGGCAGTAATGTGCACCAATAGTATAAAAGTTAGTCATTTATTCGGGTCTGTCCTTTATACGTTTAAAATTTTAAAATTACTCCATGTATTTGATATATCTATACAAATAAATAAAATTGAAGTGTCTGTTTGTAATGTCAAAATAACAGCTTTTAACTAAATGCATATGAAAGTGTATACGGTACTTATAACAAAAACACAATTTTTAAAATTTTTGTCTGTCTTGTCTGTCTGTTTGTTCCGGCTAATCTCCGAAACGGCTGGACCGATTTTGACGGGACTTTCACTGGCAGATAGCTGATTTCATAAGGAGTAACTTAGGATACTTTTATTTTAGAAAAAGAATTAGTGTTCCGCGCAAAAACATAAAAACCTTATTACGCGAGCGAAGTCGCGGGGAACAGCTAGTATATATATATATATATATATATATATATATATATATATATATATATATATATATATATTTAAAGATATACTATACATTTCAGACTGGAACACAGCAATGCAAGCACTGCTATTTACCGACAGAAATAGGTAAGTATAGTGCCTACCCAGAAGAACTGTTAGGCAGAAAAGAAGTCCTACCACTGGTAAAAGGCAGTTTAACAAATGATGTACAAACATTATATATTATGCATCATTATTCTTTCACTATACCTAATTTTGATTCATTTGTTAGAAACGACACGCTAGGAACGCCAATTAACTACTGCAATCGGTCCAACAAAAAACACTTTTGTGACTTTTAAGATGAAAAAGGGCAAATTTATTTTATGTAAATACGATATATCTAGATGAAGTGACGATCTGGTAAGACATGCAGGAAGTCTATGGGCGCAGGTGGCTGAAAACCGTGCCTCGTTGCATTCCTTATGGGAGGTCTATGTTCAGCAGTGGACTTGCGAAGGGCTGTAATAATATTGATGATAGGTATCTAAAAATAAGCAATTGATACATAGACTTATATATCTGCGTAAATTGACATCGAAACAACGATCGAACTTACTTTGGAATAATAATTGACATAAATAGTTAAAAAAAAAAAACAGAAAAAAAAATTGATCGATAAGCGCAAGTAGGCCGCAAAATTGCCCTCATAATAAATATGTATCGCGGTCATACACTTTATTATGACACGCCGATTGTCGCCAGTCGGAAATTCAAATAGACCGTTAAGCCAGTCTCGCTCGGCGCCAGCCCGCCGAGTAACGGAATTAAAACGTGCTTATCACACAAGCGATGCGAAAAAAACTCGTTAGATTTTATACTAATGAGTAAAAATGTCCTCCCGCTAGACATGTCATCGCTGTGAACTGAAAGAATTTGATGTTGGGGAACTTCGCATAGTTATATGTCATAGCTGCTAGTAGCTATTTCGGAATTTTCCCTATAGAGCAATCTATAGAGGAGGCTCATGTTCAACAGTGGATCTTTATAGGTTGGAATGGATGGATGGGTTTGTAATTAATGAAATTAAATACAAACCCAAGCGCATACCACTGCAACACTTCAAGATACTGTAAGCGTCGTTCTGCGTAGATCGGACCAAAAATTAATATTCAAAAACTGAAGGAAGCCGGGCTAACTGTGACATCGGGACATCAAACACCTCAGTCCCCCCCCCCCCCCCCCGTGACCATGGGCGTTGTAAAGCACCCGAAAAGTCGGGAATTAAAAAGTTTAACTAAACGCGATAAAATCCGTAAAAATTAGTTTCCGTGTAATCTTCGCGTAAATATAAGAAATCATTATAGATGGAACTACAAATGTACTCGTAAACTTTGATTATATACACATGATAAAGCTAGTTTTATATTCTATACCTGAAAAATGCTGGCTTACCCATGATGGATTCTTTCACCGCCGAGCAAATAGTATATATATATGTTACGTATGTAATCTCCGAGGGGGTAGGCAGAGTCCAAAGAACAACAAGCTACTCGGACCACGTTAAGCCATAAAGTATGGGTATAGATGGAAAATTGTGAAAGTGACAGGTGGCTAGCCTATCACCATCCATCCATTACAGCGTATAAAAGTCCAATGCTGAACATAGGCCTATCCCATAGATTGCCTCATAGGGAGGATTTTGCCATAGTTGCCAAGCGGATTGGCTACCGTAGATTTTTTATAATTTGGAGTTGTTATCAGGAAGATGCTGCTGCCAATCTCTTGTTTCAGTTTCCTTTTGTCGCCTCTTACTACACCCACGAGACGATATGGGGTAGTAGGCCTTACGTCGGCCCTACACGGGAATAGTTATATTCACAAATCCAATATCTAATAAATCGCCTTTTACTCGATCAGCAAGTAACACAGTTGGTACATTCTTTTTAGGGTTCCGTACTCAAAGGGTAACGGGACCCTATTACTAAGCCTCCGTTGTCCGTTCGTCCGTCCGTCTGTCAGCGGGCTGTATCTCATGACCAGTAATAAGTAGAGAATTGAAATTTTCAAAGAATGTGTATTTCTGTTTCTGCTATAACAACAAATAATAAAAATTAAAATAAATTAAAAATCAACCGGATTTTAAGAGCCAAGACCGGACTTCGGCCGGATTTCAATACAGACCGGATATTTACCACGCCGGCAATACTTTCAGATCTATTATAGGTTTCTTTTTTATTTATAGGTAGGTCAGTGTGTGTCGAGTGTCACTCAAGTACCTAAATACGACTTCAAACACGTTATATATATAATATATAAAGAATTTTAAATACAGTTTACGGAGAAACCAACTTAAGCTAGTAGACATAAATATTTGTTTATGAAATAAAGCGTAACTACAATCTATCGAGTTATATTATTATTACCGACTAGCTATTCCCCGCGACTTCGCCCGCGTGTTTTTGGGGTTTTCATTTTTTTGCACGGAACCCTAATTCTTTTTCTATAATAAAAGTAGCCTAAGTTATTTCTTGTGACATCAGCTATCTGCCAGTGAAAATCCAGTCAAAATCGTTCAAGCCGTTTCGAAGATTAGCCGAAACAAACAGACAGACAGAGAGACAGACAGACAGACAGACAGACAAAAACTTAAAAAATTGTATTTTTGTTATTAGTACCGTATATTCTTTCATATACATTTAGTAAAAACTGTAATTTTGACATTACAAACAGACACTTCAATTTTATTTATTTGTATAGATGTGCCAGATTAACACCGTACTTTTTCCAAAAATCAATTTCAGGCCAATGTAAACCTATGCCCACGGGTATCTTAGTCGGATGCTGGCATTGCATGAAAATTCAAGGCGAGTGAATCCTGACTACTGGTTCTTCAGCTATAAAACATAATTGATAGCAACAACTCCACAACATTCTAGAGCTTAAGGAATTTACGAAACTCTAAAACCCATTAAAAGGTCATAAAAGTTTATATCACGGAAAATTGTCAATTAATTCGGTATTAGAAAAATTTCCTTGGTCCTTCAACGCAGTCAGTTTGCACAAAATATTTCGTTTAATTTTCCTTTGGACGTGGAGGTTATTTCCGCTCACATAAAGCATATCGCCCGGGCTATCGCAGATCAGTGTATGGCTGAAGTACGCAATAAAATTCGCAATCCGCGAAATCTATTTCTATAGACTGTCTCAAGGTCAAGAAATGCGTCAGCCAATGTTAGCGCATCGATTTTCTTAATTGTACAAATGTACAACGAAACTCTTTTGTTTATAGTCGTGGTGGTTACGCCGCGTAATAACGCCATATAAGTGATTGCACTACCCCATATCATAGTAAGAGTCGATAAACGGAAATGTAACAGGAGATAGGCAGTAGCACCTTTTTTTTATAGTACAGACTACAGAGTGACAAACGAGCACACAGTCCACCTAATGGTATGTGGTTGCTGTGGCCCATTGACATCTACATCTATCCTCGTTTGCGAATCAAAATGCAGATGCGTTGTCACCCGTGAGGACTAAGATGGAGTGCCTCCTTTCCATTAAAAATGGTATCCGGTTCTCAACACTCACCATACGAAACACAGCAGCATTAAGCTGTTATTCTATGAGTGTGGTCCTTCTCCGGTCGAGCCGACCCATTCGTGCTACAACTATACTACTAAGATAGCTGCAGTATAGCTCTACCACGTCAAGCATCCTCTAACAACTCAATAAAAAAGCTACGGTTGCCAACCCTCCTGCCAAACATGGCAACTATAGCAAATTACCGTTCCGTCCCATCAAAAAAAATGCTGAAATAAGCAAGAAAGCAGTGGATACTGAGCATAGGCCTCTCCCATAAATTGTAGTGTATA